TTATTCTTTTTTACGCCTCTTTTTTGGGTGATTTTTCATATCTTTCAAAAAAAAAAAATGATTTAAAAAGTAAAGTTTTGTATTCTTTTCAAAAAAAAATGAAAATGAACCACTTTTTACCCTATTGAAAACTTCAATTAGGCTAAGGGTGGAATCGAACCACCATTTCAAGATTTGCAGTCTAATACATTTCCTTTATGTTACTTAGCCTCTCTCTATAACTTAATAACTACGGTTATAAGAATCTCTTTTATTTTTGAAAAGAATCATAAAGAATTCTTCGTTAAAGTTAACAACGAGCTTCAATGGGGTGGCCACAAAAAAAAAAGTGTAAAAGATTTTTACCAATTGCTTTGCTTTCTTTACTGGTATTGACTCCATTCATTATAGCCTTTAAAAAACGTTCAGGGCTATCGCCTATCGCCGATTTATTCCATTATTAAAAAAAAAAGAACAAAATTTTGAATGTTAGAACAGTCTTTTATAAGCCCTTAAAGGTACTGAAAGGAGTTGCTGTGGTATGGGTGCGGCAGGGTTCGAACCTGCGACCATTAGGTTAAAAGCCCAATGCTCTGCCAACTGAGCTACGCACCCGTATATTCAAAATATACGTCTTCATTTGAATGTGTTAGGGTCAGGTGGATTGCTTTACACTATTAACCAAGTGTGGACAATACAAATAACAATCTCCAGTTTAGCAGTGAAGCAGAAAAAAACATACTTTTTATAAGTATAATTGATAAAAGTATAAAAAAGATAAAAAGCATTGAATGCGTTCAAAAAGGTAAGGTTTTGCTTTCTTCAAAAAAAATGAATAAGCGCAGAGTCTACCTAACCCCCCTAGAGGGATTGGATCAAAAACCACACTTTTATAAAATGGAAAGTGCTCTCAATTTATTGGAACTTTGTCTGTTTACGAAAAAGCTTTATTCGATTAGCCTATGGTTATTACCCTCTATTTTGAACCTATCAATTGCTAGCAATTAGAGAAAAATAAGAGAGCAGGTAAGAGCGGAGCGTGGAATGAGGCCACTCATTTGCTTTTTAGAATGCCTTAAAGAAAATGCTTATTCGGCTGTGGCTTTCTCTTTATTTTGCTGATTCAGTTGCTCATCATTTTTATGTTCAGTGAGCTTATGCAACAGCTTTTATTTTTCGATTTTGCTCTAGTCATAAAATAGAGACTCGTTTTTATAAAAAACGTTGCTTACGGCTAGAGGGACTCGAACCCCCATGGATAACCCGCCAAGTCCTAAGCCTGGTGCGTATACCAATTTCGCCATAGCCGCTTTCTTTGCTCACTTTTTTGATTGACTTTCTTTTTTGTAATTCAAAGTATACCGAAAAAAACAGAAGCCTATGACTGGAATTGAACCAGTTCTCTCTCTCTTACCAAGGGAGCGCTCTACCACTGGGCTACGTAGGCTTTTAGTCATAATTTTTTCATACTCTTCGATTGCTTTTATTCTTTTTTGGGGTAGGATATTCTTTCCCGTTGGAGACGCCCGGACTCGAACCGGGAGCATCATGCGTGCAAGGCAAGCGTTCTACCAATTGAACTACGTCCCCTTGGAGAGAAAGGGATTCGAACCCATGATACAAAAAATTGTATTTTGATTTAGCAAACCAACGCTTTCAGCCACTCAGCCATCTCTCCTACTAGAGTACAAAAAGTCTTCGTACATACAATAACAAAAAGGGGATGTTAACCTGTTTGATGCGGTGCAGTGCGCAACCAGCGGGCTTAGTAAGCGAAGCTGTGCCAAAAAAAAAAGGTCTCGCTTTATCACACCCGCAAAGCGCTAAACTCGCTTAAAGAAATGTACGCACCTGTTGAAAAGAATGAGTTTCTGTTTTCCTACTTTTTATCCACTCTTCTTGGAGAATTATTGAATTTAGGGGGTTATCGAAGGAACAGCTCCTTTAGCGAAATCATTATCAAAAAAAGGATAATAAAAGAAAAAGAATCAATGAGCGACCGCCAATGAAGCGAATATACTTCACTTTGCTCAAAAAAAGAATCTTTTTTTAACCTTTTCGCTTGTGTGTACTTGACGCTTTAAGCTTTTCTATTTCTCAGTGGGGGAGGTTCAAAAAATATATGGCGGGAACACGAGCGGGAGATAGCCATTTGTTTACTATTGCCTTTAGTATTACAAAATTTTTTTTCTTTGTTGGCCGACTCCTGCCCTGCCTACCCACCGGAGTGCACTTCTTAAGCTATAGCTAAATACAATTTCAATTGCGTTTGCAAAAGCAAAAGAAGATCGGGAAAGACGGGATTTGAACCCGCGATCTATGACGTGACAGGCCATCGCTTTGCCACTAAGCTACTTCCCCTTTGTGCTGGGTAATAACGGACTTGAACCGCTAGCCCTCTCGGTGTAAACGAGATGCTCTACCAATTGAGCTAATTACCCGAACGTGCGGAGTGGAGGACGGTAGTTCCCCAGCGAAGCCACCCTGTTTGAGGAGCAAATAGTAACCCCTTCGGTAAACTCCTCGCTCATTCGTCTACCGCCCCCCTTCAATGCGTTTCACTCTCTATCGGGAGTGACTGCGTTAGTGGGGCTAGCGCCCCCCATTTTATTCCACTCCCGGGGGGGAGTGATTGAATTCAAAAAAATCTCTTTTTTTATTTCATTCCACTCCCGGGGGGGAGTGATTGAATTCAAAAAAATCTCTTTTTTTTTTTCATTCCACTCTTTTTAAGAGTGACTGCGTTGGTTTTCAATCTATTCCCACTCCAAAGCCCCTTTCTTCCACTCATAAATAAAGCCAATCGTTAGAATCCACAAGAACAGCATCATTGACCAAAAACCAAAAAAACCAATTGATTCTAAACAAACAGCCCACGGAAATAAAAAAGTTACTTCTAAATCAAAAATAATAAATAAAATTGAAACTAAATAGAATCGAATATCAAACCTACTTCGAGCATCATCGAAAGGGTCAAAACCACATTCATAAGCCGAGAGTTTCTCTGGGTATGACAAATTATTTGAAGCGGCAAATAAAAACGAAAGCGCAAGAAGCAGAATCGTTAGTAAAAAACTCACTACGATATAGATTAAAATAGGTGCAAATTCCATAAGAGTTTTTTCAATTCGAATTATAGTATGCGTTCTTTTATAGCTTTTGTTATAAGAAGTTTAAAACGTCATACATTTGAAAGCTTTCTAGTTTTGAAAAGTCTTATTCTTGACTGCGTTCCAAGAAGCTAAAAAAATTTTTTTTAGCTTTGGGCCTTCAAAACATAACGAAACAATAAGCATGAGATCCTACTGAATTTATCAAAATAGGGGAGTATTTTCAACGGTAGAATAGTGGTCTCCAAAACCAAAGGTTAAGGGTTCGAGTCCCTTCTTCCCTGTAATGATCCAGCAATGATTAAAAGTACGCAGTCAATCGCTCTTCAGATAAGAAAGAGAACGCAACAGTCTTTCAAAAATGCAAGAATTTTGTTCAATTTTGAAAAAATCGCATAAGGCTTGGGCTGAAAAAAGTGCCAGGTGGAATCATTGAAAGTATTGTTGAAGAGGAGGGCGAGAGTTGATAGGGCTCAAGCCCCCCACTGTGTACCACTCCCTATCGGGATCGAAGAGACATTCCCCTCCAGGGAAGGGAGTAGAGTGATTTCATTCAAAAAAATCTCTTTTTTTATTTCATTCAAAAAAATCTCTTTTTTTATTTCATTCAAAAAAATCTCTTTTTTTATTTCATTCAAAAAAATCTCTTTTTTTATTTCATTCAAAAAAATCTCTTTTTTTATTTCATTCGTGGCAATGGCGTGCCCCACGTTGTTCCACTCCCTATCGGGAGTGATTTCACTCGTGGCACTGACGTGCCCCACTTTGTTCCACACTTTTTTACAATATGTCTCTTCGCTACTAAGACTTACGCCCTTTAGCTTCCCTAATAAACAATCTTTTTTTTTGCTACTTGGTTGATGGCTTACCGCTACGTTCAAAAAAAATCTCTTTTTGATTTTCGCCCCAATCCGCTACGGGAAGCAAAGAGCCACTTCCCATAGCGGATTGGGGTGGCTCTACGCTCGTAAGACTTCTGCGTCTTCTTTTTCACCGCTTTTTTTATATGCAAAGGCAAAGTGCTGCTTGATGGGTTATTAAGAAAAGAGGAGATGGGTATAAAAAAAAGAATAAGACAAAAAAGAATGTAATGCCCAATAAGATTGCTTTGGCTTGATCCATAGGGCTATATACAACCCATCTCTTAGGTGTCTCAAAGTACATCACTTTTACAAATCGTATATAATAAAAACAGCTTATAACACTTGTCAATACACCCACCAATGCTAATAATACTGCACCACAGCCTAGAGCAGCAAAAAACAAGTAGAACTTACTGCAAAAGCCTGCTAAAGGGGGGATTCCAGCCATAGAGAACATTGTCATTGAAAGAGTCAAAGCCAACACAGGATTTGTTTTTGCAAGCGCTCCTAAATCTGCAATGTATTTCAAACTTTGCCTTAAGGAGAGTAAGACTGCAAATAGATTAATACTCATTCCAATATAAATGACTAAAGCAATGAGTAAAGATTGAATACCTTCTACTGTGCCACAAGAGAATCCAATTAACAGGTAACCTACATGACCAATAGAGCTATAAGCCAAAAATCTCTTGATCTTTTTTTGGGACATAGCTGCTAGGGTGGCAAAGAGCATAGAAGCAAGGCTACAAACAAAAAAGATTTGCTGCCAAGTTGGGTCATAGATGGACGAAACAAATAGGCGCAGCATGTTTGCTAAAATAGCAACCTTTGGTGCAATTGAAAAAAAAGCCATAACAAATGTAGGAGAGCCCTCGTACACATCCGGAGCCCACATATGGAAAGGTACTGCTGTAATCTTAAACAAAAACCCTACAGCGATCAATAAAATTGCTAAAAAAATGCCCTTTTCAGGGATATCTAATAAAGTAATTTTGGCCAAATCTTCAAAATTTGTGGTTCCTGTAAATCCATAAATAAGAGAGCAGCCTAACAACAAAATGCCAGAAGAAAATGCGCCTAAAATAAAATATTTTAATCCCGCCTCTGTTGAAAACTCTGAGTTTCGCTTGGAGGCCGCAAGCACATAAAAACAAAGGCTTTGAAATTCAATCGCTAAATACATTGCAATCAGATCATATGCGCTAATCATTAAAAGCATGCTGCACAAAGATAGAAGCATTAAAATGACAAATTCAAAGCTATTGAAAGTCTCCTGTTTGAAATATTCAAGGCTCATCAAGATAACACAAGCACTACTTGCGAGTACAAGAGTCGAGTTCATCAGAGTAAAATGATCAAAGATCAAGCTGCCATGAAAGCAGCAAACTGCAAAGTTTGGAAATGGGTGAGAAACAGTTAGCAGCAGGGTTATGAGAACAGTCAATAAACCTAACCAGCCAATATTACTCGCTAGAGGTGGATATCCATATCTCTCGCTTGTGCTAAAAAAAGCACCATACATTAAGAGTAGGATTGTCGCACAACACAAAAAAATTTCAGGAAGAATTGCTAACAAATCGTGTATCAACATAAGCGGATCAAACTTTGCCCAAACCCATAACCCTGTTAGAAAACAACCCTTACTGCTCAAAAGCTTAATAAGGAGTTAAACAAATGATGAAAAAAAAAGATTGTTTTGAACGAAGAACTATTTATAACTTATTCTTTTTGATGCACACAATTCGGTGGAATAAACGAGAACGGATTGTTCCCGCCCTATAGCGCTTTTTGAATATAGAAGAACTACCAACAAAAGATAGAAGAGCCACCGCCCCCTTCTCGCTATCCCTTCGCTTAGAGCTTTTGTTGTATAGAATTCTCAAACACTGATAGTTTGACAAAAAAAGAGGTTTTGCTGTAGGTTGTAGATTTATAGGAAACAACAAATATTTTACTCTTTTGATTGAATAAGCCCTAAAGAGGTTAGGAGAAGGAAAAGGGGTGAATTTCTTAATCCATTCATTCTTATTGATTCTATAAACAGCTTAGTAAAAGCAAAGATTCTAATTGCGAATGTGCTTATTTCTATTGAATAGAGCAAAGCATTGCTTTAATTGAATTGGTTGAGCTTTGCGGCCTTTTGAATAACTGTACTGAATTTGAGCGGCCTCTTTGAATCCTGTAATTAGACTATGCTGCAATGTGTTGCGATACATTTTTTGAGAGCTCACTAAAATGTTTAATTGATTGTCAATCTGTTGCCCTAAAGCAAAGCGCAAAGATTGGTACAATTCTGGCAAATTGATTTGAATTTCGTGGCTTATAGATTCCCCTATCTGTTCGGTAGCCGGTTGTAACTCATCGGCAATGAACTGCTGGTCGCGGATTGCAGATTGCAGATTGATCTGCTGCAATGTCATATGATGCTGTAACTCTTCTAGAATCGACGTACCTCTTGATTGAAGACTGGCACGGATAGTATCTCCAAAACTTTTTTCAACATACAACACAAAGCCAATAAAACTTAGAGCTACCACAATCTCTTCGTTTAAAATTAAGATCTGTTTGGCGCAAATAACACTGAAAACTAAAACGATTAAAATGATATATCTAGGCATGGATTTTAGAGTTTATTTTTTCACTTTTTTCCCAGAAAACCCACCCACAAAAAAGCCTTGTTTTTGCGCTTTCGTTCGCTTTGCTGTGCTCTTTGGCGAAACATCCTTTTTTTTGGCTTTGTTTGAAAAGCAACGCCTTAAGCCAATTAGAAATGCAACTTGCTTTGATTGGCTTCTATTCGCTAAAGGCAGTGCCTTTCCTGAAGACAAAAGTTGCGATGTTAATACCTGCCAAAGGCTTAATTGGCCTAGGAATGCAACACTTTTCTTATGAAGCTTTTGAAATTGCCCCATGTGAATGTTTGAGAGCTGCTGATTGTACCAATCCATAGAATATTGTACAGTTTGAGAAAGAAATTCTCGGCTAAGCCGGCACACATCCCAAACAATTCGGCCTGTTAAAAGGACGGTAGGCTTTGATCCTTGTACTGAAAGTGTTTGAGCATCGGCTTGGGACTCTGTAACTGTAGAGCCAGCTGTAAGCTGTTTGCGAAGCTTTAATAACCGACTAATGCGCGGTAGCGCATTATTAAGAAGCAAGATATAATAAGTAAATAAAAAAACACACAGCCAAACAACCTGTGTGAGGTAAGTAAATGAATCGAGTTGTGGCATTGTATTAATTTTTGTTTTGCTAGAAGAAAAAAAATTTGAAAAAAAGCAGAGCCATAAGCTATAGAATCAAAAAATACAGTGACTTTCCTTAGATACACAGTCACTCCCGGTAAGAGGTGGGGGTGGAAAGGGAACGTTTAAAGGAGAAGAATCGATAGATTGCTTGAAGTATGGGACATAAGCCTTGTTGCCTATCGCCCCCATTTCATTCAAAAAAATCTCTTTTTTGATTTCATTCCACTCCCGGGGAGGGAGTGATTTCATTCCACTCCCGGGGAGGGAGTGATTTCATTCCACTCCCGGGGAGGGAGTGATTTCATTCCACTCCCGGGGAGGGAGTGATTTCATTCCACTCCCGGGGAGGGAGTGATTTCATTCCACTCCCGGGGAGGGAGTGATTTCATTCCACTCTCTATCGGGGCGAAGAACCACTCACTGAAAGCACTTGCTTCTTTTTCCACAGATTTATTGAAGCCATCAAAAAGGGCAGAGAAAGGCGCAACTCCAAGAAGATTTGACTGAAGGGGATGGGGAGAAAGCAGCCAAAGTGCTTGTGTTGTAATTATGAACAGGTTGAGTCATAGATCCAATGTTCTTTTTTGAATGGGAAAAGAGGGGGGTTCTTTGGCTCTCACCACATATTAAGGCTTGAAGCAATTTTTTGGTGGCGTCACAAACAATTTTGTTTTTATTCCACAAAAAAAAAGAAAGGAATAGAATAAAAGACACGGGACTTTTGCGCCTTAACGCCAAGCAGGCATGGCATTTTTCGCTTAGTACTGAAATGAGAAAGAATTGAACAATCATGCTTATCGAAACTGGTCATTATTTTTTAGCTTTTAGCGCTTTTCTTCTTTTTACCCAATCTTCTTTTTTTTTAGCATTGACTGCTGTAACATTGCTTTTTTCTTTGTTTTGCTTATTCGTAAGCTACGCTTGCTCGGACTTTTCAGTAATAAATGTTTTTATAAATTCAAATCATCAACTCCCTGTTTTTTATAAAATTTCAGGAGCTTGGTCAAATCACGAAGGCAGTATGCTTTTATGGGCTTGGATCTTAAGCTTCTTTTGCATATTGTTCTTAATAAGATCTCGCCTCAGCGCTCAAGCAATACACATCCGACCACAATTAGTATTCAGCTGTATCTTATTCTACTTTTGTATCTTCTTATTTGCGACATCCAACCCTTACCTTAGGCTTTTATTGATTTCACCAGAAGCTATGGCAGAGCTCAATCCAGTTCTGCAAGATCCTATCTTAGCTATACACCCCCCTCTTATTTATGCAGGATATGTTGCAAGCGCGATTGCATTTGCGGTATGCTTATCCATTTGTATAAAATCATATAAAACGGGAAAAGATTTTCGCAGCCTTTATAAGCGGAAAGATCGTATTCAAGCAGCGCTCAAAGCAGTTTCTTCATTTTCCGTGCGCTTGATTCACTCCAAAAAAGGCCAAAACGTTTGGAACAAAGAGCCACTAATGGGGCTGTTGCCCCCTGCTTCGCTGAAAAAAAAAGTTTTTTTTTTCTCTACGCTCCAATCCCCTTCGGGGAGTAGCTCTTCGCTGAAAAAAAAGTTTTTTTTTTTATCTTCGCTCCAATCCCCTTCGGGGAGTGGCTCTTCGCTCCACACTTTTAAAAAGTGTGGCTCTTCGCTCCAATCTCCTTCGGAGAGAGGCTCTTCGCTCCCCGAAGGGAAATGGAGCGAAGAGAAAAAACTTTTTTTTGAACCAAATGAAACAAAAAAAAGAGTCTTTTTTTTGAGTGCAGCGAGGCAACCTGTCAAAGCCATCCCTTTGAGTGAGGCAAAGAATCAAGATACAATAGTGTCGGGTTCAGACTTATCAGTCATTAGGGCTTATCAAGATTGGGGGTGGAAAGAGATCCGTATTTGGACTCTGATTTGCTGGTGCTTCTTAACTGTAGGAATTCTTTTAGGGAGTTGGTGGGCATACCATGAGCTTGGTTGGGGAGGCTGGTGGTTTTGGGATCCTGTTGAGAACGCGTCTTTTATGCCATGGGTCTTATCAACTGGCTTAGCCCATTCTATCTTGTATGCCCATTTAAGGCTTTGGACAGTGTTTTTTAGTTTTGCTATATTTCTATTGAGTCTGCTAGGCACGTTCTTTGTTCGCTCGGGTTTTTTAGCTTCTGTTCATAGCTTTGCAAGTGATTCCAGCCGTGGTCTATTCTTTCTTATCTTTTTAACTGGCCTTGTGATCCTCTGTACTCTCGTTTTCTACCAATTTTGCTCTTATTCGAAGAGGTTTCTAGAGATAGAGAATAAGAAAAAAATTGCCCAAGCAGCACAGCAAAAAAAAGGAGTGAAAAAAGCTGAGTCTTTCACTAGGATTCAAAGCTTGTTTGCGCTTATTGTTTGCACTGTAGTTTTGTGTGGAACTGCGGCTCCTGTTCTTTTTTCACTCATTTTTGGACGCGACGTATCTGCGGGAGCACCTTTCTTTAATGGCACCATACTCCCAATATCAGGCGCTCTTTTGATCCTCTGTATCTTCGCTCAACTTGACAATCGATCTTTCTTCAATATCCTTTTTTGTCTATTCATCTGTGTTGTGAACACAGTTCTAGCCTATTTCATAGGAGGCCTGCCGATTACTGAATCTTTGTTCTTTTCCATTGCTTTTTTGTTATTCTATACGCTTTTATGGAAAAGCCGTACAAGCATGCAGCTTGCTCATGGTGGGTTGTGTGCTTTTATTGCAGGCATAATCTTTTCAAATCCTTACAAGTCACAAGCAACCCAAATGCTTCAGATAGGTGATCTTTTCTGTATTGATAAGAACACCCTTTTGATTTTAAGAGGGATTGATCAGCTCTACGGGCCCACCTTTCAATCAATTTGCGCCAATCTATTTGTACAACCCAATCAATTGGGCTCAAAAACAAATCATTTCGTTGAAAACAATAGCGGTTTTCCTATATTTCCAGAAAAGCGATTTTATTATTCGCAGACAGATAGTAGCACAACAAAGGTTGCAGTCCAAACAAATGGCTTTTCTGATGTATATGCGCTCATAGGGAGCGGCAATATTGAAACAGGATGGTATACTACAGTGATCAAATTACCATTCATTGCTTGCATTTGGATTGGTTTTTTCATATCATCTTTAGGGGGGGGGTTCAGCCTTTCAAAACAATTGAAGATGCCTCATCTTTTTTGGATGTAACTTTACTTGATCTTTCAAAGAGTTGAATAAATCAAAGAACTTGTTGAATAGAGAATAAGCCCCAAGGTAAAAAATCAAAGCATAAAGTTCTAACCCAGAGATTGAATACAATGATTATTCTAAACGCCTATGCTATACCTTAAACCCAATAACTATAGCCCAGAAATGCGCCCCAATAGAGAAGAGCGAGACGAGAGTCATCCAGCAGAAAAAGCAGTTTTATGCGTCAACACAAAGAAAAACAGCAAAATTTTTAGCTATTCTTTTTTTTGCTTTTTTTACAGAAAAAAAGCTGTAGGCTCAGGCTTAGTGGGATTGTCGATCCCCATTTTCTATTTGAAAAAGAAACGCGAGCAAGCACGCTGTACTCGGCTCTCTTTTTTTATTGAGGAGGTTGAAGTACCAGGCTGCGCTGAGCAAAAATCAATTTTTCAGCCTAGCGGGGTTCGAAAAGCTTTTTTTTTTGCATGCGAGAGACAAAGATTCAAGGCTTTCCTTTCTTTCCCACTCACTTCTTCTTTTTTATTATCACTCCCAGTTACTTCCATCTTTTTTGGCCGCGAGAGAAAAGCCTGCTACTAAGCTGGAGTAAAAGGATTCGAACCTCTGATCACGGTACCAAAAACCGATGCCTTTCCACTTGGCTATACTCCAAAAACGATCAAACTTTAAATGATGATTGAGCACGGAAGATGGGGCGCGACAGCCCTTTAACTCCCCCTTTTCTACAGTTTTTTGTAAGTGTACGACACTTTGAAAGCTTTTTGCTGTTTGCTTTTCATATTGAAGCAAATGAATTCAAAAATATACAAACGCTATTTTCTACGCGCTTTTCTAGAATAACCGTTGGAAATAGAAAAACTAGAACAAAGTGGGGCACGCCAGTGCCACGAATGAAATCAAAAAAGAGATTTTTTTGAATTCAATCACTCCCCCCGGGAGTGGAATGAAATCAAAAAAGAGATTTTTTTGAATGAAATCACCCCCTCTCAAGAGTGGAATCAACAGCTATTTGCCCAAAGGAATTTTTAGGGAAGAGTTCGTTTCGCTAAAAACAACATTATTCTCGGAAGGGAGTAGAACAACGTGGTAGGCGACAGCCTCACTAATGCAGTCATTTCTTTTCAATAGAAGTAGAACGAAACCACTCCACTCCCAACCGGGATTTTTGCTCCCAATAGGGAGTGGAACAATGGAAAAAAAGAGATTGTTTTGAGCAAAATCACTTCAAATTTGTTGAAAAATGTGGAGTGAAGAGCCACGCTCCGTAGGGGATTGGAGTGAAAAAAAAGAGTTTTTTATTTCAGCGCAGCCCACTTTCTCTTGGAATTCATTAGTGGCACTGGCGTGCCCCACTTTGTTCCACTCCCGGAGAGGAAGTGATTTCATTCAAAAAAATCTCTTTTTTGATTTCATTCCACTCCCGGGGGGAGTGATTTCATTCGTGGGCGATCGCCCAAGTAGCAAAGAGAAAAAAAGACTTTCAGCGCAGCTGGAGGCGACAGCCTAAGGAATGAAATCACTCCCCCCGGGAGTGGAATGAAATGAGAGGCGCTATCCTCACTCACAAAGTTACTACTGGGGTAAGCGCCCACTGCTTCACTAGAAAAACAGTCTGTTTTTCTAGTGAAGCAGTGGGCGCTTACCCAAACAGCACAGCAAAAAATACTTTTTTTTTTCTTTGTTTTCTAAACAAAATCTCCCCTTTCTCTTTTAAGAATCACTTCATTTTTTTATACAGGCAACCACTCAAAAGCAACAAGGACTCCTGAAACAAAAACAACCCATGCTAAAGAGAAAGGTAAAAACACTTTCCATCCAAGTCTCATGAGCATATCGTACCTGTAACGAGGAAAAGCAGCTCGTACCCATATATAGCTAAATAAAAAGAAGAGTACTTTTAAACTAAACCAAACACTTCCAGGAATCCAGTAAAAAATTGCCCAATTGATAGGTGGTAACCATCCGCCAAAAAAGAAAATAGCGCATAGGCTGCTCATTAAAATCATATTTGCATATTCTCCTAGAAAGAAAAGAGCAAATCCCATACTTGCATACTCCACATTATAACCAGCAACGAGCTCTGCTTCAGCTTCCGGCAAATCAAATGGAGCTCGATTTGTTTCTGCAAGACAAGAAATAAAGAACAAAACAGCTAGTGGAAACAATGGAATACAAAACCATATCTGTTTTTGCGCTAAAACAATCGCTGTAAAGTTGAGTGAACCAACGCATAACAAAACCGTTATAAGGATTAACCCTATCGAAACTTCATAAGATACCATTTGTGCAGCGGAGCGTAACCCACCAAGGAACGCATATTTCGAGTTACTAGACCAACCCGCAGTAATAATGCCATAAACACCTAAAGAAGAGATTGCAAACATATAAAGAACCCCCACATTGCAGTCAGAGAGTACATGTCCGTACTCAAAAGGAATCACTGCCCAAGCAATTAAGCTTAAAACAAAAGTCAAGACAGGCGCCATTAAGAAAAGCACCAAATTGGCACTGCTTGGCAACACGGGCTCTTTTACAACAAGCTTTAAACCATCTGCTATTGGTTGTAGCAAACCAAAAAGCCCAACAACATTCGGCCCTTTTCTTCGTTGCATAGAGGCCATAACCTTGCGCTCAGCAAGAACCATGAAAGCCACTGCTAACAGCAGAGGAACAATAATCCCAAGTATTTGTACGATAGTCGTTATAATGTAAAGTTGCATGTTTAATTGAAAGAATTGGCAGCGAATAGCCGCTTGCCTTAAAAAGCAAAAAACCTTTTTTTTGCTGTGCTGTTTGCGCTTAAGCCCAGGGCTTATTTCTTTTTTACTCTAAGAGGAGAAAGGAGAGTGACTCTGTTCTTTTTGAAGAAAGTGATATGCAGTAGGAAACACCAGCCCTATAAGCAAAGCCAGAAAGACATTGTTTTGAACACAGTTTCTTTTGCGAGGTATAAAATGGGAACAAATGCTGATGAGACTGAAAAGAGATTTGCATCTCTCATTTTATAAGTTTCTTAATTTTCTCCAATCCTTTACGCGGATAGGCTCTGCACTCCAACAACATAGCCTCTTTATACCAAGAGTGATTGTGTTGTTTAGAGCAGTACCTTTTTTCGTATACAGTGCTTGATCTTTTACAAAACTTACCACCATCGATAATGTAAAAAGGCCCGGTTATCTTCGGCTTTTCGATGTAAATCCTCTCTTTTTTTCCGAGCGTGGCCTTTTCTTTGAGAAGCATTCACAATCTCTGTAATCAAACATCGAGCGATTGTATTATGTCTTTTTCGTTCTTGAATCGCTGACTGTACAATCCATCGAATAGCCATAGTCTCTTGTCGTTGTGCTTTGAGGAGGGCAGGAACTTCATACGTTTTGCCCCCAATTCGAACCTTTCGTACCTCTAAAATAGGCTTAACATTTTCAACTGCACTTGTTACTGAGACTGGCAGGGTTAAAAGAACTTTATACAAAATTGCGCGCGATTTGGCTTTTTTGCCAGAAGTCATAAATAAGTTTATTAATTTTTCAATAAGTCTGTCTTCATTTGGGTTAGACAATCGGTTTAAAAACGGGTTTATCATGATTTATTCACGTTAGTTGAGTTGTGAGTCCAACAAAAAGGTATAGAAAAAAAGCTTTATTATGAATCTTTTTTTAGCAAAGAAGTGAAGTTTGCAAATTGACTCTTCCTTTCTTTGTGTTTTTCGTATGTTGCTTGAAAGAATCATAAGCTTTCATTCACAGATCTTATTGTTACACTTACTAAAAATGACCCTTAAGTCTTTTTGTACCATATTTTGATCGGCCTTGCCGACGAGCAGGTATGCCATACAAATCTAAAACTCCCCGAATAATATGGTATTTCACTCCTGGTAAATCCTGAACTCTACCACCTCGTAGAAGCACGACAGAGTGCTCTTGTAATAGATGTCCTTCTCCAGGAATATATGCAATGACCTCTTTCCCATTGCTTAAACGAACTTTTGCTATTTTTCGAAGTGCCGAGTTAGGTTTTTTAGGTGTTCTTGTAGACACTCGTATACAGATTCCCTTCTTTTGAGGGCACCCCTGCAAAGCTCGAGTTCGGCTTGATCGATGCTTTGGTTTTCGGTTTTCACGAATTAATTGATTGATCGTAGGCATCTTTTTTATAAGTTTAAATATTCAAACAATTCTTGGTAGCAGTTTCTTGGTAGCAGTTAGCCGATGAAAAAAAAAGCCCTCTTAACCCTCACCTTTCTGTTTATTTATTGCAAAAAGCCATTTGCAAAGAGAAAAAAAAATATCTCTTTGTCAAAATCAAATGGGCATACGTGGATAGCTTATAGCAATAGGTCTGTTGTTTTTCGAACAATGAATTGCTCGGGATAAAGCATGCTTTCGATTTCTTATATTCTGCCAAGATTGGCGTTTACTCGCTTTTCTAAAATGCAGTATAAAAGAGCTTATTTTCTTGATTGGTACTCTCAAAATGCTTTGTAGGGGGTTATTTGAGTTGAATTCACAAACAAGACAGAGATTTGTAAAAAAATTGTTGTCATTGAATCTTTTTCGTTTTGTGAAAACAAGTTCAGAAAAGCAGACACCAAAGCGGAAAAGGGGATTCGAACCCCCGACCTTAGCTTTGGCAAAGCTACACTCTGCCATTGAGCTACTTCCGCGAGCTGTTATTTGAAAAATTTTTTTATAAAACGCAGTCACCTCTAAAACGAGTGGAAGAAAGTGGGGCACGCCATTGCCACAAATGAAATAAAAAAAGAGATTTTTTTGAATGAAGTGGGGCACGCTAGTGCCACTAATAAAATAGCTACCCCCAAAGGAGTAAAGCGAAAAGCCACGCTTTTCAAAAGTGTGGTTTTGTGGATTGTTAGCCCAAACACTCTTATGCTATGAATGACAGAAGCTGCTCAGACTTTTAGCGATTGCTTTGATTGATTTGAATTGATTGTTTTTCGTTTCTCAATAAAACTCAATCAATTGAGCCGAGGCTGACTTGAACAGCCGACTTTACGCTTATCAGGCGTATACTCTAACCAACTGAGTTACCGGCTCAAATCATTGTTTTTAACATGAATACACGCTAGAATATAAAAGATTGAACGTTGTGTTGGTTTATCTAGCTCAATGTTAGGCCTAAAATCTTTGAACATTCTTGCACACTCCAATCCCTTATGGAGATTCAAGTAGCTCTTCGCTGGAAAAAGAGATTTTTTATGGGGGCAACAGCCCCATTAGTGGCTCTTCGCTCCACATTTTCGAAAAGTGTGGCTGTTCCCTCCACCAAAAAGAACTTGTGTAGTAGAGATTGCTCAAATCTTAGAAGGCAATTGCTCCCATTCTAAAATACTGCTTATTCAAGTTTTTCGGAAAAGGTATAAAGATACAAATAAAAAACGCGGTGAAGAGGTATTGAGGCACTTCTCTGGAATAATCTTCACTAAATTCAAAAAAGTCACAAAAATTGCAGAATTTTGATTTCAATAAAAAGAATTGAAATATCCCCTACGGGATTCGAACCCGTGTCGTCGCCATGAAAAAGCGATGTCCTAACCCCTAGACGAAAGGGACTTGTGCTTGTAGCTCAATTGGATAGAGTGCTAAACTACGAATTTAGATGCTGAAAGTTCAAATCTTTCCAAGCACAAATATAAAAACCATTCTTGTGATAACAACCAAGGATCAGAACGCTGATAAAAGAAATAGCAAACTTATAAAGCAAAGAATAAAAAAAAACAAATCAAAACTTTGCTACTTGTATTTGCTATCTTTCTGTATTCATACACACAATTGATCTTTTTTTTTTTGGTAGCTAGCGCTTTTTTCACTAGGGTGCAATCTCTGAACTATAGAATTTTAATACAGTAAAATAATCAAATTTTTTACTAAATTCGCTCCCAGTAGAGATCAGGGGTGGTACCTTTTAGGGGGCAGTAGCCACACTAAATAAGCGAAGCCGTACTTAAAGTATGTAGCGCAATAGGGAGGGCTTAAGTCCACCAAAATCAAAAATCTTTTAAAATCGAAAGTTATTTTTTTTTATAAATCTTTTTATCAGTAATTAAAAGAATAAATCCTGGTTTTGATTGAAAAGTATATTGTTTTGAACTGGGTTGAAAATATTTTTTCTTTTTTCAAAACACAAAACATCATTAAAAAAATCATTGAAGTGATTGAAAACCTTTTTTCTTGTGTAAAGCTTCAAAGAATGAGTCATTCTTTTTTTGGGTAGGCGTGAGCCCCTAGCTGCGCTAAAAAAAAGAGTGCTTTTTTTTGCTTCATTGATGGGCTTAAACGACTTACTACCTACGACACTTTAGAAAAAGACAGCTCTCCGCGACTGGAACTCGCGTTTCTCAGATTCGCTCTATCCTTTGTCAGCAGTTCCTTTTCGTTCCAATCCCCTAAGGAACGAAGTCGCTCTCCCCCAAGGGGAGTGGAACGAAGTAAAAAAGGGTTTTTTTGAACAAAGTCGCTCGCCCCAAAGGGGAGTGAAACGAAATAAAAAAAAAGATTTTTTTTAAATAGGCTCTGCGTTCATTTGTTACACTAAAAAAAAGGGGGGGGGGGGGGATTCTATGTTGCTCCCCCCCCCTGTACTCACTTTTTGAAAAGAGTAGCAATTCTATTCGAAATTATACAAATCAAACTATGCTTATTTGTAGCCCTCTAGAGCAATTTGCTATTGTGCCGTTGATTCCTATATGGATAGGCAATCTCTATCTCTCTTTTACAAATTCTTCTTTTTTTATGCTATTAGCGATAAGCCTTGCTTTGCTTTTTTTTCATATGGTTACCGTCAATGGCGGACATATTGTGCCAAATGCTTGGCAATCCGTTGTTGAGATGATTTATGAGTTTGTACTCAATCTTGTGAATGAGCAAATCAGTGGCAATTCCACAAAACAACGATTCTTCCCAATAATCTTTGTAATATTTACTTTCTTATTGTTTTGCAATTGTATTGGTATGATCCCATACAGCTTTACTGTAACAAGTCATTTCATTGTTACTTTTGCGCTTTCTCTCTCAATCTTTATTGGCATTACAATTGTCGGCTTTCAAACTCATGGCCTTCATTTCTTTAGTTTTTTATTGCCTCAAGGTGTACCACTCCCACTCGCTCCTTTTTTAGTCTTACTTGAATTAATATCTTATTGCTTCCGCGCTTTAAGCTTAGGAATCCGGCTGTTTGCAAACATGATGGCTGGGCATAGTTTAGTAAAAATCTTAAGCGGTTTTGCTTGGACAATGCTCTCTATGGGTGGAATCATGTATATAGCCTCGTTAGCTCCGTTCTTGATTGTATTTGCTTTAACTGGTTTAGAATTAGGTGTAGCAGTGTTACAGGCTTATGTATTTACAATCTTGCTTTGCATTTATTTAAATGATGCTATTAATCTTCATTAAGCATCCGATTTATGCTTGCTCCAAGAAGCAAGCCTAAATAAAAAGAAGAGTTGGGGTTATTATGACAATATACTTCTCCAAAAACAGTTTTTTGAAGATAGCTTTGCCTGCTTTTTTGGCTCTAGTGTAGCGTAAAGCTTATCTCCGTAGGGAATTGGAGCGAAGAGTCACACTTTCAAAAAGTGTGGAGCGTAGATAAAAAAAAAACTTTTTTTTTCAGCGCCAGCGGGGGCGTCAGCCCCAGTAGCAAAAAGCCACTCCCATACAGGAATTGGAGCGAAGAGCCACACTTTTTGAAAGTGTGGAACAAAGTGGGGCACGTTAGTGCCACGAATTCAATCACTCCCCCCGGGAGTGGAATGAAATAAAAAAAGAGATTTTTTTGAATTCAATCACTCCCCCCGGGAGTGGAATGAAATAAAAAAAGAGATTTTTTGAATGAAATCACTCCCCCCTCGGGAGTGCAATGAAATCACTGATGGGGCTATTGCCCCCTGCTCCGCTCCACTCCCCTCCAGGGAGTGGCTCTTCGCTCCCGATAGGGAGTGGAGCGTAGATTCAAAAAAAACTTTTTTTTCAGCGAAGGGCCACACTTTTTGAAAGTGTGGCTCTTCGCTCCACACTTTCAAAAAGTGTGGCTCTTCGCTCCACACTTTCAAAAAGTGTAGAGCGAAGCAGGGGGCAATAGCCCCATTCGTGGCTTTTCGCTCCCATACAGGGACTGGAGCATAGAGAAAACAAAATCTTTTTTTGTCTCATCTTAATGTTAATAGGGCGTGCAAGAGAATGAGGCTGGTGCCCCGTACTTCAACGAATCTATTCATTCTTTTATTTGAGTTTTGAGTTTCCAGCTCCGCCTCAAACTTCTTTTCTAAGCAAATGTGGATCTACGCTCATCCATTTCACCCCCCTTTAGACTTCATTGCACTAGGAGGGCTACAACCCATTTGATTGGTGAGTTTATCGCCTCCAGCTAGGCGCCACTTGCGAAAACCAACACTTTATGAAAGTGTTCGCTTCAATATCCTCACTCCGCTTTCTCACTGACCTGCACCCCAAAAAGAGCAAAGGGCTTAACACCTTTGATTTCAAAAAAAGGGCTAAGGGTTTAGAAAGCTTTTTTTCAATAGCCAAACAGAATTTTATCAATCGAAATATGACAATTGAAACAGTACTCTTCTCTCTTTTTTCTAGCATTGCGTTAATCTCCGGGCTTATGGTCATACGAGCAAAGAATCCTATTCACTCTGTGCTCTTCTTAATCTTAGTCTTTTGTAATGTATCTGGCTTACTAGTACTATTAGGTGTTGAATTCTTTGCAATGATCTTTTTGGTTGTTTATGTGGGGGCAATTGCAGTTCTGTTCTTATTCGTTGTAATGATGCTAAATATTCAAATTGCTGAAATGCAAGAGAATGTTCTACGCTATCTTCCAGTAGGCGGTATGGTTGGACTGATTTTTTTACTTGAGATTTTTTTAGTGATTGAAAATGATCTCATTCCCGTATTTCAATTGACAGATTCTACAGCTCATTCGGCTTTAAACTTTGAAATGTTCGTCAATAAAATCCAATCTATTCCAAACATTGAGGCTATTGGGCAAATATTGTACACTCATTCTTTTTACTTTTTTATTTTGGCAAGCTTAATTCTACTTGTAGCCATGATTGGCGCCATAGTGCTTACTATGCATAAGACTACACTTGTGAAAAGACAAGAAGTTTTTAAACAGAATGCAATTGATTTTGCAAAAACAATTCATAAGATCCGCTCTGCACAAGAATAAGCTAACACAAAAAATGAGCGTAGCAAATCACTCACGCTCTTATTAGAGGGTGGAATGAGCAAAGAGCCACGAATGGGGCTGTTGCCCCCTGCTTCGCTCTACACTTTTTGAAAGTGTTGAGCGAAGAGTCACTCCCCGAAGGGGATTGGAGCGAAGAGTCACTCCCCGAAGGGGATTGGAGCGAAGAGTCACTCCCCGAAGGGGATTGGAGCGTAGATAATAAAAGACTTTTTTTGCAGCTTTTTCACCGTATCTCGGGCCGCTAGCTCCTTTAATCAAAAAAAGATTTTTTGGGATAAAAAAGAGGCAGCTGCCCAATCAACGTACGGGTTGGGAGATGAAACTGAAAATTATTCCCAAAAAGAAACAAAGTCATTATAGCTCAGAGAATAAAATCAAAAAGAATTCTGTGGATGAACGAAAAAAAATTTCGCCATTTTTTTCTTTTTTATTTTAGAAAGACTTATGATGTTCTTTTTTAGGCAGCAGTTTTTGTTTTTTTAAGGAAAGAAATAGAGATGAAATTTGTTTTTCATTGACCAATTCTTTACTAAGCTTTGTTTTCTCTAGTAGCTCAGAGGTTAGAGCGTGTGGCTGTTAACCACAATGTCGTTGGTTCAAATCCAACTTAGAGAGGCTTCGTAAAGATAATACAAAGTTGCTTGATTGGAAATGAAAAAGATTTTCAAATCATCTTTTATTAAAAAGTTCTATAAAATTTCAAGCAAAACCAATCCCCTAAGAGATTGGATAGGCTTTTAGTGGGGCGAGCGCCCCCATTTCATTCAAAAAAATCTCTTTTTTTATTTCATTCCACTCCCGGGGGGAGTGATTTCATTCGTGGCACTGACGTGCCCCACTTTGTTCCACTCCATATCGGGAGCGAAGAACCACTCCCCTGCGGGAAGTAAAGTGACTCTGTATTGAAAAAAGAAAACTCGTCGTTTTACTCAATACCTTCTTGGGTTAACGGCTCTTCACTCCCTAAAAGTCTTCTCTCGTTTGTATTCCCTCTTTTTGAGCCATGATATAAAAATGGCTTGCTTACGAGTAATTCTATAGTTTGCAAAATGACTGACTTTCTTTTTTCTCGAGCATGGATGGATGCGCCAGAAGCGTGGCAATTAGGATTTCAAGATGCCGCAACGCCAATGATGCAGGGAATTATTGATCTGCATCAAGATATCTTCTTTTTTGCAATCATAATCTTAGTGTTTGTGCTTTGGATGTTGTTGAGGTCTTTATGGCATTTTTACTACAGTAACAATCCAATCCCAGAAAGAATTGTCCATGGCACCACAATTGAAATTGTGTGGACAGTTGTACCTAGTATTATTTTGATGTTTATCGCTATACCATCTTTTGCACTCTTGTACTCGATGGATGAGGTTGTAGACCCTGCAATTACTATTAAGACAATAGGCCACCAGTGGTACTGGACTTATGAAGGGCGACCGTGAAGTTGCCAAATGAATTGATCACAGAAGCTACACTCCCTCTAAAATCGAAAGGAAAAAAAGAAAGAAGGGAGAGGAGCTTCGATCCACTGCAGTTGTCTGCAGTGAAACGGACGCGACTAGTCTGCGGGGTCTCGCCCTGCGGATAACAATAGCATGTCGCGAAAGGGGAGCTTGAGGTCTGCCAGCCTTAGAGTGCTCCCCGACCGTAGCCTTAATGATGCAGATTAGCGGGTTATTCGCGAAAGTGAGGTGTGTGTGGGTTGTCCAACCAGACGCGTTCGGCTAGGCCATTTGGCATCACAGCGTCGTTTTCTTGTGCCACGTTGATTCGTAGCGAAAGGCACCAAGACAGAAAAGAAAACCAGATATCAATATGATTCTCATAAAGCACCAGAAACTAGTCTGTAGCATTTCTCGATTCATGCGCAATCACTTCGAACGCGTAGGAATAGGCGCATTTGGCAGAACCGGTGAACCTCGAACAGTAGGGATTGCTTTCGAGGGACAGAGGGCCAGTAGTACCTGCCTACCCGAAAGGGACCTGGTAACAGGAAAGCGCTCGTTATTTCGAGCAAAAGGGAAGGGGCCTAAATCGATGGACTGTGGGCAGAGCTACAAAGGCAAACACCTGCAGGACGTCGCATATCGTAAATGGAGCAGTCTTTCTTTTTCTAGCTCGGATGAGCTTGGGTCGCCGACCTCGACATGGATTGAAAGGCTGTCTACACTTCAGGGGTTGAGACCAGGGGCGAAAGCGCAAAGGCTATGGGCCTTGGTCGACGATATCAACCTATGGGTTGCCGCCTATAAGAAGCTTGCCCCTAATCCAGGGTCTATGACCAAAGGAGGGGCAGGGGGAACGATAGATGGCACATCTATGCGGTCACTAAAAGCACTACGAGATAGTGTAGTAGAATGCAAATTTCGATTTGGCACGACTCGTCGAGTCTATATCCCCAAACCACAAGGCGGCAAAAGACCGCTTGGGATTCCAGAGTTCCAAGACAGGCTAGTGCAAGAAGTGGTACGTACCATATTGGAAGCCATATACGAACCAAAATTCTTACCGAATTCTCATGGATTTCGACCAGGCAGATCACAACATACTTGTCTAAAGCAAATAAGAAGAGATTTTCGTGGAACAATTTGGTACATAGAGGGGGATATATCCAAATGCTTTGACAGCATCAATCATGACTTTCTTTTAAGAACTCTAAGTTACTCTATCCAAGATCACAAATTTCTAGCACTCATAAAAACGGGTCTCCAAACAAACACCCTAATGCCGGAGAAGAATATAGAAAAAACGCTGGTAGGCACACCGCAAGGGGGTGTTTGTAGCCCTCTGCTTTCGAATATAATGCTCCATGAACTTGATGTATTTCTTGCGAAGCTGAAAAGAATCATAGATCGGGGCAAAGAAAGAAAAATGAGCAGGAAGTACGGGGCGCTTACAAGCTTACGATCTCGCGCGAAAAAATCAGGGTCGATTCAAAGATATAGAGATTCGTTAAAGCAGGCTAGAAAGGTCGGATATGGCGACCCTCTTGATGTCCATTTTCGAAGGCTGAATTTTGTGCGATATGCTGATGACTTTCTTATAGGAATCATTGGCCCACGAAAGTTAGCCACGAGAGTGAAGGAACTAATAAGCCGATTTCTCAGTGCTAAGCTTAAACTGAAGTTAAGCGCTGAAAAAACGCTCATTACTCGCGCAAGAGGGAGCGACATACCATTTCTTGGGTACAAAATCAACCACGGTCCATCAAATATGTACACGTACAGACGAAGGTACCAAGGGAAATGGAGAACTGTTCGAGTGCGTAGAGCAGGGCATATACGGCTTTTAGTTCAAATGAAAAAAGTGATTGGGAGTTTAGCGTCAAAGGGATTTTGTGACCGATACGGTGAACCAAAGCCCAACTTTCATTCCTTCCAAGATCCGCAAAGCTACACTGTGAGCCGAGTTGGATCCATCTTACGGGGCATAAGTCACTATTATCACTTGGCAGAGACCAAGCGCAAGTGTGTTAGTCGGGTGTCTTCCATCCTTACCCATTCATTGGCCAAAACCTTTGCTGCCAAGTTTAAGCTGGGCACGAGGAGCAAGATCTTTGCTCTGGCTGGCAAAGACTTGTCAAGGCCATTGAAGGCTAAGCCAGGGAAGACTGCCGCAGGCATTACTGACTTGAAATTGACACAATGGGCTATAGAAGCTGGAGGAAACCTCAAGGGCACTCTCAAAGGGATCCCCTATACGAGTGCGCGAGATGTGAGCAAGCCAGATCTGCTCCCCTTGCGTCCTCAATGGAAACGAAAAAAAAAGATAGGAATTTCCAAGATCCGTTAGAAAAGCTCCGCTGGAGAGGTCTTCGAGGTAGAACCAGCCTTATGGCTACGTGTGCGGTATGTGGCAGCACGGATGAGGTCGAGATGCACCATGTAAGAGCCCTGAAAGATCTAAAAGGTAGGGACTTCGTAGAGCAACTCATGATCGCTGCCCGTAGGAAGCAGATTCCGCTATGCCAAGAGCATCATTTTCAAGCCCACGGTAGGAGGAAGACGAAAGAATAAGCAAATTACCTATAACTGAAGATATTACGATTGGTGAGCCGTGTGATGGGCGACTATCTAGCACGGTTCGGAGAGGACTTTAGTATCTCAAAGAGGTGCTGTATAGGTTGCGCTTTGGGTGAACTTTTCACTCTATTATTCTGATTACAATCAGTCTGATGAGCAATCATTAGCCTTTGATAGTTATATGATTCCAGAAGAAGATTTAGAGTTGGGTCAGTTAAGATTGTTAGAAACAGACAACCGACTGATTGTGCCAGCAAATACCCATGTTCGTATGATCATTACCTCTGCAGATGTGCTTCACAGTTGGGCAGTTCCTGCTTTAGGAATCAAATGTGACGCTGTTCCCGGACGCTTAAACCAAAGCTCCGTCTTCATTAAAAGAGAAGGGGTCTATTATGGTCAGTGTAGCGAGTTGTGTGGCGTGAATCATGGCTTTATGCCGATTGTAGTTGAAGCTGTTTCACTCGATGATTATGTTCAATGGGTCTCTAACAAGCTTGAATAATAAGAATAACAATCAAGTGTAGTAAAGCAAGGCTACGTTCAAATCAGTCCAATAAAAAATGCGTTAGCCTTTTTTATTGATTAAGAGAGTTTGAGCTACCAGCTGCGCTGACAAAAATCTTTTTTTCTTTTCACCCTATCCACTCTCTTGAAAGAGCGGCTACGCTGAAAAAAAAATTCTTTTTTTCTCTTTTCGCTCCACTTCCAAGAGGAAAGTGGTTCTACGCTCCAGCAGCATAAAAAAAACAAGCGCTATGAATTCTCAAAAACATCCTTTTCATTTAGTTGATCCAAGCCCATGGCCATTGTTTGGTTCCCTTGGAGCTCTTGCAAGCACAATGGGCGGCGTCATGTATATGCATTCTTATACCGGAGGTGGGTCACTCCTAAGTTTAGGGCTTGGAATGCTGATCTATACCATGATTGTATGGTGGCGAGACGTTGTACGAGAAGCTACTTATGAGGGGCACCACACTGGTCTTGTTCAGATCGGGCTCCGATATGGCATGATACTCTTTATTGTTTCAGAAGTTATGTTCTTTTTAGCTTTTTTTTGGGCGTTTTTCCACTCAAGTTTAGCCCCAACTGTAGAGATTGGAGCAATCTGGCCTCCAAAAGGGATTGAGGTGCTGAACCCTTGGGGAATCCCGTTTTTGAATACTTTGATCCTTCTTTCGTCTGGCGCTGCAGTGACTTGGGCACACCACGCGATTCTTGCTGGGAATAAGCAGCAAGCTATCTATGGTCTAGTCGCAACGATCTTACTTGCTACGCTTTTTACTGGATTTCAAGCTATGGAATATGTCGAAGCACCCTTTACAATCTCGGATGGTATTTACGGGTCTACATTTTTTTTAGCCACTGGCTTCCACGGATTTCACGTGTTTGTGGGAACTTTGTTCTTGCTTGTTTGTTGTATTCGACAGGCAATGAATCACTTTACACCAAAACATCATTTTGGGTTTGAAGCTGCGGCTTGGTATTGGCATTTTGTTGATGTAGTTTGGTTATTCTTGTTTGTATCTATTTACTGGTGGGGCGGGGCTTAGTACTAAAAACGAGCAGTGGAAGATCAAAGCCGCTAGAGGGGTC